GGAAGTTGCCAGGCAAGCACTTATTCTACTGAGCTATCTCCCTGGCCCCTGATTTTCTTTGAAAGCAGCTGGGATTGAGTTATTATTTGGATTTTTTTTAAAACCTGAATTAGAATTGTTTTATTAAAGGTTGACTGGAGATCAACACTTCAGGAACAATTAGGGGTTATCTCAGACAGTTTGTTATCACTCTTAATGCAGTTGAAATCTAGGCTAACTTAAAAACTCTATTCCAGTTCCCAGTAATGGAGGAGTATCTCCTAAGAAAACAGCTCTTTTGCAAGTAACCATACATTCTAGGAAAAGGAAAGAAAACATGTATGAAGGAACCACGCAAAGGCACTGGAAGGCAACCAAAAGTGGGCAAAAACAGAGAAGAGTCTATACTGGGAAAAAGAGGCTTGCATTGGGTGAGTTTCTTATTTTTGTGTTTCATTTTGCTTTGCTTTTTGTTTCCCTCACCAGCAGTAAAATGCAAACAGGATTCTCAGTCTTACTCTCTTGTAGAAAAAGGTGTTAAAAATTGGAGAACAATGGAATTGTCTGCAAAGTAAAAGGGCTATTTTATGAAAGAGAATCATAAAAGGACAGCTCTCACACATGCATCATTTTCTGTCCCAACAGCCAACGACTCTGCGGTCTGCGCTGAGGGTCCACATTGGCCGGTGCATCAGAAGTAAGAGCTGAACAGAGACTTCTGACTGCCTCACACTGTAAGAAAGTCGGTAGCTGTAGACACACCCCAGGCCATGTAGATGATGGCTTGGAAATACAGAAAGTAAAGGCTATTACACAAAATTACATATTCTACATTTGTAAATTAAAGTTATAATCCATGCTGTGGCCCCCAATGCCACATGTAAGACGAAATAAGAAAATGTGGCACAATCTTAAGGAAAGGGAGGAGAGAGAAAGTGCTGGGAGAGCCAAGGCGCTGCACCGGTCACGCAGGGTGCTGAGGCGTGCTGCCCCGTGAGCGCGAGGGAGACGTGCACCACAAATGAGAGTGCCCGGCG